CTCACTGCTGGGTATGGTATCAGTCTCAACACCGAAGTGAACGTCTCCGATCGCCCGGTTACCCAACAAGGAATGATGGGAATGCGTATTGGTACTGCCGGTCCTGGTCGTCAGGTGCAGGACGCATCATTTTTTAAAGGAAAATTACACAGCAAAACAGCGGAAATCTCAAGCGAGATCGACAAGTTGAAGCGTGAGATTGAGCAAGATGCAAAAGACAAGGCGCAGTGTGCACAGCTCGAACGCAAGTATGAGAAATTAGCTCTGGAAGTGCGTGATTTGGAAGGACAGCTGGCCGACTACAACTTGGCCATGGACAAGATGCGCAGTGCTACAGATCCAGCAGAAATATGTCAAGTAAAAGATCAATTGCATCAACGCAATGCTCAAGAGGCAGAAGACGTTGATCGAGTCTTTTTAATGAACAAGGAGCAGGAGAAGAGCTTGCGTGCGATGGAGGCGGAGACAAAGGAAATTCATGAAAAACATCAGGACAAGATTAATCAGTTAGCGCCACAGAAATTGCAGCGTTACAGAGAGTTACTTGAGGAGCATCAACAAAGTGAAGCGGAGATCCAAGCGCGTACACAAGAACTGGAGCTTGTGATGCATTCAATCCACCAAAAAGAAGCTCAATTGAACTCCGATCGGTATCGTGAAGAGTACGAAGCCCTAGAACGTCAAGTTCGAAGACTGCAGAAGGAGCGTGATGCTGCTGCAGAAGATGCCAGGACAGCACAGATGGACCCAAATGAAGCGCGTGCTGTATTGCTAGCTAAAGTGAAAGACGACAAAGCAAAAATAGAGGCACTGGATGGCACGTTGCAAACTGTACTAGCAGAAAAGCAAGAATTGATAAAAGCATTGGCTGATGTCCAGAGCGAACTGGATGAGCGTGCTGGTGGGAGTGACCCAACTCAAAAGTATGAGGCATTGTTTGCCAAAGACAAGGAAATGACAACATTTTTAGAGGCTTTTCCAGCAAAAAAAGAGGCGGAGTTACAGGCTCAACGCACAGCTCAGAACGTAATTGTGCAACTGCTTGAACACATATCTTCGGGTATGGCGAAAGAAGACAAGTTACCAGGCACAAATGCTATTAATCTCGAAGAAATGCGACACGACCTTACATTTAAAGAGCGACAACTGGAATCGTCAATGACAACAAAGCAACGCTTGACTATGGAGCTGCAGAAACGCCAAGAGGAGCTCGATAAGGTGAATACACTCGACGATAAGATCGCGCTTGAGCTAAGCAGTCTGTCGGAAAAGATGGAGACGATGACGACGGACATGAAGGAATTTGGAAAGCTTGACGCACTCCAAGAAGTCCATGCACAGACAAAGCAGCACTTGTTGCGACTTAAAAAGCAATATATTGGTCGTCGTGATGCTATGCGTCAACAAATCACGGCATTAAGTGCTCAAGTGGAAAATGTCAAGCATGAAATTGCACAGCAAGAAACGGCCAAGAACTTGGACGCGCTTGAGCAAAAATTACGACATCACGAGCAAAACATCTTTCATTTGAAAGAGTATATTGACTCGAAGTCTCGAGAGGTTGACTATGAACACACTAAACAGGAGTGCCTTCGTACCTTGCAAGAGCTGAATACTCTTCACATTGCCCAGCAGTAGGTCATAGAATATCACGCCGGCAGGTCATTTCATGAGATTAGTTTGGACTAGTTTTTGATGTCACAGTCAAATCATTAAATATGAAGAATCTAAAAAACATAAGCAAGTATCTGGTACAGCTTGGGGACAGTTGAGTATCCTTCGTATAGTGCGGATTTTCTGTCAAAAAATGTTAGTAATATACAATGAATCGCGTACCAAGTGGAGAGCTCAAAACCAATTTAACTAACGAACTAAGGATGATCGTTGAATCTACGCTTTTAAGATCCGATAAATTGCCGTTTTCGATGATTTTGTCATCCTGCCAGCCCAAAGCCTTGAGGCTTCTTACAGACGAAAAGCTATCAAAGCTACTTGTTGGAAATGAAAGTATACTCACCCAGAGCCCGAAGAAGTTTTTTCTTGCATTGGTAAGCCCACACGCGACCACCCTCTGTCGTCCGAGTCGATGCATCTACCTTTCTGATTGGCTTATCAAGGTCAGTTGCCTGAGTCTTCCGGGGCGATCATGGATGATGAAATTTTCCATGATGACTATCAGCTCAGAAACGTTGAGATCGGCGTTATCGCCATCGCTACAGAAATAATGCATGGGTTGAAATTGAACACGTTTTTGTAGTAATCGAATTAAAATATGCTTAAACTCTTTCACCAATAGTTGGTTGCAGTGCATATCCACAGTTGGAGACTTAAGCTGCTTGGACTGTTATACTTCATATCTCCTATCAGCTCATTATAAAGTGTCTCTGATGGCATCGCGATAATAATAACTACTCGGTTAGATGGGCTGAGACGGCGATGAAGCACCATCGATTCTATCCAATCGTACAGCTTGACCTCGCATTAAAGTAGATCTGCTTGACTCGATCATTGGGGCAGGGTCGGTTGTTTCGTTTCAATCTCCGATCTAATGTCATCGACATGGCTGTACAACCAATGTTGTCGCCGAATATAGCAGCGGCACTCTACGTAATCGATCCCAGTGCTGATTCTGTAGCTCCCTATCTGTCCTGAGGCGATACAAGTGCTTGTTGTACCTCCCTGTCGTAGTTAGGATGATCGAGGTCGATTTTTTTAGTCCAAAACGAAAGTCGTATTTTGTAATATTTATTATTCATGAAGCATTCGCTGCTGACGCACTTGTTCCATCATGGCGTCCAGATTAGATCCCAAAAACATAACCATTCTCATGTAAATACTATTTAGATAGTAAAAATTCGAGCCTGTTATCGAAAAATATTCATTCGAAGGTGTCGAATGATCACAAAGCTTTGTTATTGATCTAACATTTATCGCATTGAGCTTTCTTAGACCAGCGGAAGTTGCACTTGTGCACTTTGAGGTTAGAGATAGTTCTCGTAAAATCTTTTAGATCATTTATCTGAGTAGCAATCGCGGTCAATGTGGCTCCTTTAATCTAAAAGTCGTTGAATTGATGTTAACAAAATTCGTAGCTGTGTTCGCTACAGGGTGTGGGCAGCGAGTAAAGCGACTAACTACGTTGCAAAACTATCAAGTGCTGGACCTTTTGATGCTTGTCTAGTTGCAACGGTAGTTATGCCAATGATCAGTGTCAGTTCGATCATACCGCCTTGGTGTAGTTCGTTGCAGTTAATCGTTCCATATACGTATGTCAACCTTGTAAGTGCTTCTATTTGAATGTTTTCTATGCCCCCGCATGTGATAATTCGAACACCGCCTATCCTGAAACGCTGAGATCATTCCAACGAAACATTCGCTTGTTGCAGCTGTTCCACCTATAATTGAATCTCGGCTGTAGCGGGTGATGCATCTGCGTAAGTCAGTCTTGGAAGTGTTTTAAAAGTCCCTGCTGTGGTTGATGTACTATAAATCGAAAATTTGCTAACCCCTGCGATCTATTTGCTACCAAAAACGAGTGCTTTGTTCGCGGCTGCTGAGCCGGGAGTAATGGGAAGCACCTCGCTGCAGCTACAGCCCAATCACCGTCAAACTATTACAGCTTGACGCACCAATTCCACTAATATCATCATTATTACCTGGTACGAGAGTTACTCCAGGAGTCGCAATCCCTTGAGTATTTCTTGTGCGTTGAGCTAGATGATAGTCATTCTAACCTTAATGTAGTGTCTGAGCGTCATCATTAGTGAGATACCCAGCGTCAGATAGAATGCGAGATTATGTAAAGTTGTTTGCTTATGCTAAGCAAAAAGGGTTCTAATCGATGTGGTTGATGCTGGAGAATGATACCTCCTTTCCGAGACAACTTACTTACACATGAACATCTCGTCAAGTCTCTCCATGACGAAGTTTATCCTCGCTGTAGCTAAGAAGGGTAAGTCTCGCAAAGGACTCGCAAGAGGCAAAGGAATATAAGGCAACGCTCCGAGCGATGAGAAAAGGGATAAGTTAAGCGATCAGCTTATTTGAATGGGCTTAACAGTAGCATGATCGATACTTAAAAATCACGGAAGATTTCTTTGTTGTCGTTCTGGCCAAAGATACTGACTGTGATCGCGGACTACAAAACAATCATGACAATTCATTTAAGCATACTGACCTGGCATGTACGAAATCATTTTTCCAATTTGAGCCTCATCTCTATCAAATGCATCAACAATATCGCCTGATGCAACATTCTCATTTCAAATCAAACTACAACGAACGATGTACGAACTGGTAGGGGTAAGTTCGAACTATGTTCGATGGCAGCGGTAGCAAAAGCTGTTGAGTAAGTTTCCGCGTTCGGGCCCAATACCTGATCAAGCACGCTCTAGAATTGACAAGAGCAGGGTGGATTGATCGATTGATGTCATCATACGATCAAATACCGTCTTGAAGACTGATACTTATGGTAGATGTAATAGTAGCAGATGGTATATCAACTAGTCATAATTCGGAACGATAAATTATCGATTATCTGTCGAAGTTGTAGCGGAAACAGATCGATAAACAATGTCTGCCCTTTGCGCTCTATGACTTCATTATAGTAAAAAAAGATCATTAAAACCCTTGATATTGAAGTCTTGTACAACCAGCTATATACAAATCACGCTTCGAATTGGCATTTAGAATCGCCATATACTCTATATTTAAGCGAATCGGCCTATCAGTTGCTAAGTAGCTGAGGCTTAGGAATACGGAACTCAATTTAAAGTGTTGGCCTCTTGTGAAGTAGTGTGAAAAGATGTTTTTCTAGAGCAGACTGTCATTTATTAAATCATCTGTGCTGACAAGCTCAGGTTTGTTGGAACTGATGGCGTACTTGATCTACATTTGAGATGTATGTTGATCAGCAAACGTAACGAATCCATCCAGTTTGTCGCGAAGATACTCACACTGTACCTAGTGAGTATTACGAGTTCTAATCGCTAAATGAGCACTGCGTGAGCTTTAATCTTGAAGTGATAGGACGATTAAAGTCGTGTATTAATTCAATAAGTTACACTTTTCTTGCCTATATTCTGATCTACTGCTGTGCGAGTTGATGGTACTGCGACTGTTGAAAAGCAAGACTATGGTGGCGGCTATAGACGAAATAAACAACCACAGCTACCAGCAACCATACGAGAATAAGTAATACACTCATACCATTCATTTGAGCGAAAAGAAACCAGTTGAAAAAAATGGCAATACAAGGTGTATACGGCACAAAGGGTGCCCGAAAAGTTGTCGAGTCTGCATCGGTCACATCGTTTTCATGAAAAACAATCGCCTTGTTTTCCTCGTTTTCACTGTTTTCCATCATCACTTTCTCTTGCCGTTCTTCGTCAATTGAATCGTCGGCTTGTCGATCGATAGAGCGGCTTCGACGGTGACAACCATGCGTTTGCGTCCTAACCGAATCTGGTTGCATATCTGGAGTCAACACATCCTGACGAGAATTGCTATGGTCTTTAGACTTTGCCGTTGCATTTAATGAGACACTTTGCGTTTTGATAGCATCACTGAGTGCAAACATAAGTGCAATAGCAATGACTGTAAAGAAAGCAGCAACGAAAGGCCCCAAGATGCGCATGTAGCTATCAAATAATGATCGGTTGGTCGTCGATGACAGCGGTACTCTTTCGATTACACCTTTTTGCCAGTGATACCCAGCAATGAATGAAGTCAAAACGTAACCAATCACCAAGGCACCATGCCAGTGCTTGGATGGCGAATCTTCTGCTTCATTCGTTCCAAGTCGTAGAAAAAGTAGCGAACTGTTCGTAAGATTGAATGCGACGAGAATACCAAGCGAAATAAAGTTCCAGAGTACATGAAAGGGCACGAACACGGCAAGAAAAGTAACGCCAATACCAGACAGCAACGTGCCATGAATAACGTTTCCCGCCGAGTCTACCCGAGCAAATATCGATGGCAATAATCCATCCTTTGCCATTGCGTACTGAACGCGAGGCTGAGCTAAGAATGCAATAAATGATGTGATGGGCATAGTCAGCACTTCTCCTGTCGCCACAAACGATGCCGCCCAATCAAGTTTTAAACTGGTGAAAGCATTTCCATAAGATTCTTCAGCATTAATTTCCGTATATCGTTGCATACCCACAAGCGCCAGAGTCGCTAATATGCTTAATGTTGCTGCTCCAATAATTGTACCCACCACAGCACGAGGTATGTTTCTAGCAGGATCTTTCGCTTCTCCAGCAAGACAACACACTTCATCGTACCCAATGTACCCATAAAAGCTTGCACTAGCTCCAAGTAGTACCCCTGACCACCCAAAAGCCAATTGGTCTTTACCATCCACATTGACGACACTTTGGTCAGGTACAAAGGGTGTCACCCTGTCGATATCAAAGTTTGCCAGCCCCGCTATAATGATGAACACAATGACTGTAATTTTTGTCATGGTTACCACATTAACCACAACCTTTCCAGCTTGCATGCCGCATAGAATTATAGCCGTGCTGCCAACTACCAAAAGCCCCGCGTAAAGATCCACAACCGAGTCTTTTGGTTTCATCCAGTCAGGACCTTGTATCCCGAATTGCGAGTTCATCCATTGTGTCAACTTATCGCTCCAGCTACGCGCACCCCCGGCGCTGGAGACGCCGTACTCGAGTGTGAGTAAGAAACCGGCGATCAAAGCTGGTAGTTCTCCAAGAGCATGGTAAGCGTATGCATATGTACTACCAGTACTAGGGATGAGACATGCAAGCTCCATGAAGGTCAAACCACTTAATAAACAGCCGACACCGGCGAAAAACCACGAAATTGTGGCGGCAGGACCAGCGTAACTACTGGCGATGAGACCAGATGTAGCGAAGACGCCCGAGCCGACCGTTCCTCCAATGCCTATCATAATAAGATCAAATAGACCAAGTGTCCGCTCAATTTCTGGAGCATCTTCGCCCTGCTGAATAGATCGAGATGGTGTCTCCGAGCGTAAAGGCTTCCGCCAGAAGGCAAGACGCAGTGAGTGCATTTAAATAATTTATGTTCAGAACGAAATATCTTGATGCTTAAAGAAAATTTGCAGAATTAGATGACAAATTAAGCAAACCTTATTATGATCCTCTTTCGGACTTAAAGGGAACACAACTAAACGCTTCGTGTGATTGTGTGATCGCACGAGTTTATAAGTATTGTTTATACATTGAATGATAGTTTTTTTGTAACGGGGTTACACGTACCCTGGTAACTGAGGTGTGTGTCACACGAGATGTGCATGGTGTGCACAAAATACTTTACTATGTATTTAGTATATTTAGGAAAATCTAAACTTTTAAAATAAGGATAGAAAAATAAATAAAATTCAGTTTTAAAACGAAGAGTCAAATAACCTTGGGAAGGCAATAATTATTCTTGAGTAAGCGGATTGCGATCCGCTAACTCGTACTTGTTCTAAGTATAGAACGAAAGGTC